TCAGAGAAGCCTTCTCTGACCTCCCTTGTAAGGGAGCCTCCCGGGCTCTCTGTTTGCTTGTTTCTTTCTTTCTCACCACTTAGCAATGGAAATGATATTATTTCTGGGTTTATGGTCTCTCTCCCCTGCCTGGAATGGTCGTCTCACCAAAGCAGAGACCTGGTCTGTCTGGGTTGTCAGTTTACCTATTGGGTCTAGAACAGCGAGGGACACATTGTAACCATTCCACAAATAAAAGATGCAGGATGAAATGAAATACCCCAAGTATGCAAAATGCTGAGTACAGCCCTGACTTCTTGTAGGAGCTCAGCACAGGACAATGATTAACTTTATTGGTCACTGTTGTTACTATGTTTCTTCTGACTCCCAGCACCCCTCCAGCCAAGCAAACTCGCGGCTTCTTCCTCCCCGCTTTGTTGGTCCAGCTCCTGCCTCACCTGGCCCCATTCCCTGCCTCTCCTGGCTCCACCCTCTGCCTTGCCTGGCCCCACCCCCTGCCTCATCTGGCTCCACCCCCTGTGTGGCCTGGCCCCATCCTCTGCCTTGCCTGGCCCCACCCCCTGCCTCATCTGGCTCCACCCCTTTGCTCACTGTTGCAGTCAGGGCTGGCGCATGGCTTCTCCCCTTCAGAAAGGAGACAGCTTGAAAGATTGCAAAGGGTAATGGCTACATTGGCAGTCAGCTGGGGTAGTGAACATGCTCCAAGTCAACCCTGAAGATTAGACTCCTTGGGCAGCCATCCCATAATTGACCACCAGCTTGCTCAAGGTGGGGTGGGAGGAGAGAAGGGGGTGCTACACATTTATTAATGTTCCCCCATCTGGTTGGAGCCCAGCGTAAACAAGACCTAGCAGCTGCACAGAAATCCAGGTCCCTCTAGTGGCTCTGAAGCCCAGTCTGGGTAGGATTAGGGTCTCAAGGTGACATCCAGACCCCGTGGTGTGACAGGAGGGATGGGCGTGGCCCTGGGCCTAGCGAAGTACCCCGTGTGGACGAGGTTGCTGACACACAGGCCCAGGTGAGTTACGGGGTGGTGTTTGGTGGTGGATGGCCAAGGAGTTCCCCGTGCCTCTCTGCCCTGTCTCACTGGGTGGTCTGGGCACATCTCTTAGCCTCTCTTTCTCCATCTGCAAAGTGGGTATGAGCGTCCACTCCTTCCTGACCCACAACCCTGTGGAAAGAAGCAAGGCTTACAAGTGTGAGAGGGTTTAAAACCACCTCCAGGCCCTCCTGGTCCCTCTCTCCCAAAGCCATCCTGGTGCAGGCCGAGCACATTGACCCAGAGGGTCTCTGTACTCTTCAGATATTTTCGGGTGCCTTTGGGAGGAGCAGGATTGTGGAGTGGGGGAGGAAGGGGAGGGGAGGAGAGAGAAGAGGAAGAAACATTGTTTGCATCACAGCACTTCTAGGGCCAGGTAGATCTGAAGAGCCTGTTTCAAGTAGTGATGGAGGCAAACTGGGATTCCAATCCTTATCGTGTGACACTGGACCAGTCATTTGACCTCTCTGAACCTCGTTTTCCTATCCCATGATGCTATGAGGTTGAAATGAGGTAATTCATGTAAAGCTCTGGGCAGGGCCTCAGGAAAACAGGACTTCTCCATGGCAGCGAGGCCATGATGTCACTAGTAATAATACCAGTGAGCTGGGTGCCGTGGCGCATGCCTGTCATCCCAGCAGCTCGGGAGGCTGAGGCAGGAGGATCGCAAGTTCAAAGCCAGCCTCAGCTTTCAAGGCCCTAAGCAACTCAGCGAGACCCTGTCTCTAAATAAAATACAAAAGAGGACTAAGGATCAGTGGTTAAGTGCCCCTGGGTCACCCTGGTACCAAAAACAAAAAAAGTAGTGATACACCCACTGCCCTCGCAGAAGTCCAGATACCCACTTCTCTCTCTCCAGAGCCCAGTGTGGGCGAGCCTCGCAGCCCTTCCCTTTCTGTCTCGGGCTGCCACCTGCTGGTGAGGATCAGAATTACAGTTCTGGGAAAGTGGCCTTGGCCAGGGGAAGAGCACAGGACTCTCTGGGGCAGGGGGCAGGGCCCGATGGCCGGGAGCGAGCTGAGGCCACCATTAGCCTGCAGAAGTTCTCGGAGGCTGGCGTACCCCATGAGAACTGTCAGTCGCAGATCTTACGTTTACCTTCTTCATAGTCCTGGCATGGGCCCTCCTTTTTTTCCCTGTCCTTGGGCCCAGGCCTCTACCCTCTCTCCTTGGAGGACACAGCAGCTTCCTCACTGCGGTTCCGTCTCCCCACCCAGGATGGCTCAGGCCCACCCAGCGGGCCCCGGTCACCGTCCTCAGGGTGCAGGTGGTTTATGAAGGACTGACCCCCCCACTCCCTTGGGGACAGGGGTAAGGGAGAGGAGGAGCAGTGGGAGGAGGGAGGCAGCGGAGCCAAGACACTTTCCAGCGGAGTCCCAGCTTCAGCCAGATCCCATGGAGAGCTCTGAAGTTGTCACCCCAAGGCACAGAGCTGAGTTTTACACCCCCACCCCCTCAGGCATCAGTGGGTGACATCCTGGGTGACGGAAACGCAAGCGCTCAGCCTGAGTGAGGCTCAGTCAGGAGCTGGAGCTGGGAGAGGACGCCTGGGCGGAGTGTCCATGGGCAGGGGTCACCACGTCCTTCCTCTCCAAGCTCCTCTGGAGACCCTTTCCCCAACTCTCTAAGCCAGTTACACGTTGCCAATCTCCTTTAAAGTGCCATCAATGTGGCCACCCCTGTGTCTTCTCTTACACCCACGTGGCCATTCCAGGTCCTTTCTTTTTTTGGAGGGGGTACCAGGGATTGAACCCAGGGGCACTCCACCATGGAGCCCCATCCCCAGCCGTTTTTTGGCATTTTATTTAGAGACAGGGTCTCACTGAGTTGCTTAGGGCCTCGCTATTTAGCCGAGGCTGGCTTTGAACTTGGGATCCTCCTGCCTCAGCCTCCTGAGCCTCTGGGATGACAGGCATCTGCCGCGGTGCTGGGCTCTACCTTTTTTTGAAATGGGGCCACCTGTCTAGCCCTGTGTCTGGCTGTGCGGTCACTTTGTCTCTGTTGACTCCTTTTAAATTTCATGCGCCGTCCTTGCTTGCTGTAAAGAGAGCTTCCCAAGCATACAAAGGCGTTGACAGTGACAATGGAAATGTCCCTCCACTTTCATTGAGAGCGTGGGTTCTGGCCAGATGTCTTTCTAAGCATGGATTGATGTGGGGGGTGCAGATGGTTATTTGGGGGCTGTCAGAAGACCCTCCTTTGAACCCCCGAGGACGTTCTGGGTGCACTGGGAAGGAGGGGAGTGGTGGGCTGGCTGGCTGGGGCCCAATTCTGACTTCTTCAGCTGAGCCCGCCTGAAGCCATCCCACCAGCCTCTGGTCATGGACCTGGACTCTACCTTGTCCCCGCCTGCTGAAGCCTCTGGTTAGAGTTCCTACATTCTGCTTTCCTCTCTACTCCATGTCCCTTTGGCACATTTGAAGCCCGTCCCGTTCCCAGGACTTAGACACCGTCCCACACCCTTGTGGCCGGAGGGCTTCTTCCCCCCATGCTGTCTGTCCCCTGGCACAGCTCTGGGGGCTCAGCACCACGCTTTCTGCTCCCACGACCACTCCTAGGACCTGATCTAGAGCCTGGGAACTGGGATCTTCTGAGACCCCAGGCACGTCTTTGTACCGCGTCCCTTGGGTCTTCCCCGCCCAGTGTGTCCAGCGGCCTACCTGTGGCTGGCATGGCATCTCTTGTCCAGGGGCTCACTGGGGAGCCGTACTCTTCCCCACGTGGGGCAGACAATGAGTGCCCAGGAATTGATGTCACACAACAAGTGATGGCGGGCGTTGGCGTACAGATACCCCAGCGCCCTCCCCGTGGACCAGGCTAGGTCTGGGGTGCCTGTTCTGCAGGACCCAGAGGTTCCTGGTGGGTGGAGCGCCAGCCGCCCACAGCGGTAGCTGGTTGACGACACGACATTTATATCGGCCTCCTTTCCTGTCCTGTCTCCCTTCCCTCATCCCCTTTGGTTATTTCCTGGAACCATCTCCTGAATAAACCATCTGCACTTGGATTCTTGTTTTGGGGTTGGTTTTTGGGGAACCCAAACCAAGCCCAGTCAGGACGTCTCCCCTGAATCCCTCTTTCTACTCTGTCCCAGATCTGCCCACCCTTCAGTAACCTCGCCAGCTCTGGATTTCCTCTAGCTCTTCTCCAAACAAGACCAGAGGCCGGGTGCAGTGGCGCACGCCTAGGATCCCAGCGGCTGGGGAGGCTGAGGCAGGAGGATCACGAGTTCAAAGCCAGCCTCAGCAACTTAGCGAGGCCCTAAGTGACTCAGTGAGACCCTGTCATTAAATAAAATATAAAACAGGGCTGGGGATGGGGCTCAGTGGGTAAGCCCCTGTGGGTTCAATCCCAGGTACCGAAAAAAAAACAACAACAACAACTTTAACTAACAAACAAAAAGATGATGATCTGTGTCCTCCCCTCTGGCTCTCCCTGTTCCTGTCACCTTCCACAACACCCTGGGCACCAAGGAGTCCTTCAGGCCTAAAGGAAGCCCCTATGAAGCCGAGCTCCACTCCAGCTGTGGACGGGTGAATGCCAAGCTGTCACCAACCTGCCCACACCCACGGCCCCACATCGCGGAGTCGGGACCCTTCCAATCCCAGGGAGAAAGGAGGCATCTCAGGGGTCAGGAGTCCACTCGAGACCAGCAAAAAAAAAAAAAAAATTTAATTTTGGTCCAGTGTGGTGGGCAGCYGGTCCTTCCTTGGGACCAACAGCCATCTGCAGTTCCTGGGGGGGGGACGTGTCTCAGGGTGGACATCGCAGGGCCATGGGGGTGTTGGCTGTGCAGCAGGAGGGGAGCCGGAGCCTGAGGACAGCCAGGACCTTCCATGTGGGTGGCTCCCTCTTCTTCCTCTGAGGTTGGCTCCTGCCAGCTGGTGCAGCATCCCGGGGCTCTGGGTCCCAAGTCAGCAAGAAGCTCCCTCAGGCCCCTGGCCCAGGAAGCACTGCACTCCTCCTAGAATACCTTCCGGGGCACACAGCCCTCCAGCTCCAGCAGCTCTGGCCAGCCATCATATTTATTTGTTTCTGGGTTACTCTTTAGGAACTAGAGAGAGAGAGAGAGAGATGGATGGAGACTGCGTGGGACCCTGGGGGTACCCCTGCTCGGCCTCCTCACTGCATTCTCCCCATAGCCCCACTTCACAGATGGGGAAGCAGAGGCTCAGAGAGGGACCCCAACTTGCCCAAGGTGTCCGGGCCCAGTGACTGCCTGCATGTCCTATGGGGCACCCAGGCAACTTCTCCATTAGCCCTTCTAGGACACCTCAAAGGACAAGAATAATAAGACAAATCCTAGCAATTCTTGAGCACTTGCTGTATGCCAGGCACCATGATTTTTTTTGGGGGGATGCAGGGGATTGAACTCAGGGGAACTCGACCACTGAGCCCCATCCCCAGTCCTTTTTTATATTTTATTTAGAGACAGGGTCTTGCTGAGTGGCTTAGGGCCTCACTCAGTTGCTGAGGCAGGCTGTGAACTTGGGATCCTCCTGCCTCAGCCTCTGGAGCAGCTGGGATTGCAGGCATGGGCCACTCCATCCAGCTAAGCCATTGTTTTTTGTCTGTGAGTTAACAATCATACTGACTTCATGGTTAAGTACTAAATCACAGCCTGTGCGTATCTTGCTTAGCATGTGCCTGAGCAGGGCAAGCACTCAGGGGATGCTAGTCTTCCTTATCATCAGCCTGATTTTGCCACTCTCCTCCTCAAGCCTCCCATGGCTCCCTATTGCCCTCCGCTCAGAGTCTGCCCTCTTCAGTGTCCTGAATCTCAGAACCACTGGCCCTTGGCCTTGGGATCTGGGCAGCAGTGCAGTCCTCACTTCATGCCGGGGAAGGCCTGGCCAGTTTTTCCGGGTTCCTGGAATCCCTCCCAGCTGGGGATGTCCAGAGAGGGGGGCTGCCTGTGGCCGGGGGAGAAGGCACAGCATTTCCCCAGGGTGGCCTTGACCTCGGTCTCCTCCCTCCTTCCTCCTGGGAGTGCTCCTCAAACTCCACATCTGGGGGCTTCCCAGATGCCACAGCTCAGGGCCACCCCACGGTGGTGACCTGGGACTCGACACTGGGGACCCTTCCTGACTTCTTCCACGTGCTCCGGTGGGGGTCCTGCTGTCCCCTCCTTGGGAGGAGCTCGCTCTCCACAGGGAGCTTAGGAGGGGGGAGGGCTCTGCTGATCCAAACCCCTCCCTTTCCAGGTGGGGAGGGGGAGGGGTTTGCCAGGCTCACAGCTGGGACCCGGTGGCAGCTCTTCTCCTCCCTGTCACTTGCCCCTCCCCCTCTGTCCTCCTTCCCCTTCTCTTTCTGGGTACATTTCTAGACACCTTTGCGTTCACCCATAACCCACCTTTACAAAGTGGCAGAGGCGGCCGGGGTCTGGCCCCATGGCCCAGCCTGAGTGGGAGCAGATGGCCTGGGGCTGCCCTCCCGCAGGTTCTGCACGGAGACTCCCTCCAACAACCAAGTCCGCAGAGAGCGGCTGTCCTTGCCGCCCCCACCCCGCTCCCCATCTGTCTGTCTGTCCATCCCTCCCTGGCATCCTCCAAGCCCTTCACTGCTCCTGGGGGTGGGAGGCGGCCAGGAACCCACCTGTTCAAAGGGGCTTTTGTTCTTGAGGTCTCTGGCTCCTAGGAAGACCCAGCTGTCCCGGAAGCCCAGCTGCTTCGCGTAGGAACTCCCCAGGTTGGAGAAGAGGGACCTGAGGTCCTCGTTCATTCTGCAGAGGACCAGAGAGGACCATCAGGGGGGTGGATGGCTTGATGAGCACAGGAGCCAGGCGCAGTGGTGCAGGCCTGCAATCCCAGCAGCTCAGGAGGCTGAGGCAGGAGGATCACGAGTTCAAGGCCAGCCCTCAGCGACTTCGTGAGGCCCTACGACTCAGCGAGACCCTGTCTCTAAGTAAAATATAAGAAAGGGCTGGGGATGGGGCTCAGGGGTTCAGCGCCCCTGGCTCAGGATGCAGGGATCCCAGACTTTCTCTCCCAAGGTGGGGGTTGGGGAGAGGTGTTTGCAAATGTAATGCCTGTTCATCTGGAAAACACAGGGTGTCACAAAGATGTAACTGAAAAACGGAGCAGCACCCTCTCCCTTGACATAACATCACCAACATTTTAGCAGTCAGGGGCCGGTTCCCGAGGGACACCTTCTGAGAAATGCCTTATCGGGTGACACAGTCCCTGTGTGAACCTCACAGAGGGTACTCACACCGACTAAGGTGACCGTGATGTCACTCAGCGACCTAATTGTCTGGGACCATGTAATGAACAGTTCTTGGCACCTGTCAGTATATTTATTGTTTCTTAGTACAAAGAGCAAGCATTCTCCCATGTCCTTATATATTTTCCGCACCATTTTGTGTGTGTGTGTGTGTGTGTGTGTGTGTGTGTGTGTGTGTGTTTGGAAGAGGGGGTGGGTACCAGGATTGAACCTGAAGCACTGGACTACTGAGCCCCATCCCCAGCCCTATTTTGTATTTTATTTAGAGACAGGGTCTCACTGAGTTGCTTAGGGCCTCGCTGTGGCTGAGGCTGGCTTTGAACTCGCGATCCTCCTGCCTCAGCCTCCCGAGCCTCTGGGAGTGCAGCTGTGTGCCACCGTGCCCTGCTACACGGCCATTTGTGATGTGGTGTATCTTCCCATGTGCATATATAATAACGCATTATATGTCACCATGTTGTAATTTCTGTAACCCGCCAGCCGTAGGTGGCCAGGGGGGCATTTCCTGTTTGTGGCTGAGCCTCCCAGGACATCTCTGTGCACCTACCTGCCTGCTGATCTCCTTAGGGAAGGTCACCAGCAGATGGAGCTGGCAGGAGGGTGGTTTGAAACAGCACGTGGCTGGGCAGGTGGAGTTTCCCACTTACTTGGTCCCCGGGTCATCGTAGGAGGCCACCAGCACCAGTGTGTCCCGTGGAATTTCCTTAAGGAATTTCACCAGGAGATTGGCATCTGTGGGCAGGAAGAAAAGTGGGTGCTGTTTACCTCGGGGTAGTGACGGCCCCTCATTCCCCTTCTCACCTGGGGACCTAATGACCCAGGACTGGAAGCCAGGGGAGGGTAGTGTCCTGGGGCAGAGCTTGCCGCAGCCCTCGTCCTCGGTGAGGGACCACGTGAGCCGTGAGGGTCCTCGCTCAGGTGATCTGGGGTGGACACTGGGGTCCTGTGAGGTGCAGCCACATCTCAGCCTCTGGTACAAGGTCTCCCCCAGGGGACTGGGACCTCTCAGGACCTCAGGGCTCTTGTGCACATCTCGGACCCACTCCTACGGGGGTTGACACTCAGGTTGTCTGTGCTGAGCTGGAGGGTCCTCCACGTGGCCCCTGACAGCCCAGACAGGGTAGGCGGCCCCTACGCTCTCCTGCTGCCCACGAGGCCAGGCTCATCTTGTGTCTCTAACACCACCTTGAACTTGTCCAACTCTCTGCTGAACAGGCCTCGGTTTGGCCCTGGGGGGTGCAGTGAGCTCCAAAATACACTGACTGGTTTCCATTATATTTATTTTTATAGTTACCTTCCCTGTGTGTCAGTGATAATGGCTTTCTACTTAGGGCAATGATAGAGTGTCCTTTTAAGATCTTATTTATTTAGGTTAAAAAGGAAAGGAAGGTGGCCCAGGCCTGTCATCCCAGCGGCTCAGGAGGCTGAGGCAGGAGGATCTCAAGTTCAAAGCCAGCCTCAGCAAAAGTGAGGCTCTAAGTAACTCAGAAAAACCCTGTCTCTAAATAAAATATAAAAAGGGCTGGGGAGGTGGCTCAGGGGTCAAGTGCCCTGAGTTCAATCCCTGGTTCAATCCTACCTCACAAAAAGGAGAAATATGAGCCACTCTAAAGGAAAGTAATAGCAATGAAGGTGGGATTCTGGGTATAGTACAACTTGAGAAAGAGGCTCTGGAACGGCTGAAGTCTGGGACAAGGGGGCCTAGAGGTTAAAGCAGGGGGCTACATCTGTAAAAAAAAAGGATGGGTGGAAGCCCTGGTCATAGCTTCTTTGTAAAAGGTAAATGGGGCCATAACTTTGGACACACAGTAAATGCACTTAAATGGAATCACAGATTATTAGCAGAATTAGCTACATGACTTGTGAAGTCCAGGGCAAAAAAGAAAGCACAGGGAATTTTATTTAAAAAATCATTAAAAAATCGAGGACCGTGCTGGTCGTTGTGGTGCACCCTTGTGATCCCAGCATCTTGGGAGGCTGAGGCAGGAGGATGGCGAGTCCAAAGCCAGCCTCAGTAACTTAGTTAGGTCCTGAGCAACTCAGAGAGACCCTGTTTCTAAATAAAATATTAAAAAGGTCTGGGGATGGGTTCAATCCCTGTTACCAAAAAAAAAAAAAAAAAAAAAAAAAAAAAAGAAAAAAAAAAAAAAGGGAAAAAAAGAAAGAATTTGAAGACGATGATGGCAAAGCATCAATCCACAAGTCAAGCTGCTGGCGGGAACTTCGACGTCTGGTATCCTAGTTTGGCGGGGACAATGCTTGTCCTACCTAGCTGTGCAAAGGTCAGGGGGTCAGTCACTTCTAAGGGACAACCCTGTGCACAGAGAAGCTCAAAAAAGCACATCCCTGCAGAGGGAGAGGAAAAGACCTCTGCAGAAAGGTGCAGATTGTGAGCCTCAGGGAGGTCCTTTCTGGAGTCCTGTTCTTGGGTCCACTAGAGGTTCCTCCCTGTGACCTTGAACTCAAGTCCTGCTTTCCCAGCAGAGGTCGAGTGGGCACAGACGATGGGCTCTGTGTCCTCGTCTCTCCAGTGCATGCCTGTCTGGCCCCAGCGTGGTCATTTCTCTGAGCACAGGCCAGAAGTTCTGGGAGTCAGGGCTGAGAACACCCAGCTCCCGGCCCCACCAGGCAGTCTCTGAGGTGTGTGCTGGACACTGGCTTGATGACACTCTGTGGGCGGCCTTCTTTCCCTGTTTCTCTTTCCCACCCCGCTGTGGATGTTTCCTGGGATCTCCTGTCAAGGAAACCAGTGCACTTGAATCCTTGTCTCAGGATCTGTGCCTGGGAGGTCCCAGGGGACACCACAGGACGGCAGCAGGGACAGCCTCAACCCCACCCTGCCTGCACCCAGGGGGCCTCACTCACAGGCAGGGCTCAGCCCACCCCAGAATGTCAGTGCCTGCAGAGGCGCCTACCTCCGGAGTACATGTCGAAAGAGTCCTTTCTCAGCACCTGTCCTGTGGTTCCTAGAGGGTAAGAGAGTGGAACTGTTAACTTCCTGTATTGGGAATTGTTCCACCTCCTCACTTTGCGGAAACTTGCTACTGGGAAGCCTAAAGCCTAAAATAGAATAAGGATCAAATAAAATCAGGTCCTGTAAAGAGCATGTAGGACCGCATTAGGTGCTTAATTATTGCTGGGCTGAAGCCAGGGGTGGTGGCGCATGCCTATCATCCCAGAGGCTCAGGAGGCTGAGGCAGGAGGATCTCCAGTTCAAAGTCAGCCTCAGCAACTTAGCGAGGCCCTAAGCAACTCAGTGAGACCCTGTCTCTAAATAGAAAATGAAAAAGGGCTGGGGATGGGGCTCAGTAGTCGAGTGCCCCTGGGTTCAATCCCCAGGACCCACCCACCCACCAACTAGCAAACAAACAAATAAATAAAAATATAAAGACTGCTGGGCTGATTCGAGAGGTGCAAAAACAGCGGCTGGGCATCTCTGGAAGAAAACAGAATCTAACCAACGTGAGTCTGAGTTTTATCCTGCCCATTGCTAACACGAGGCTTCAGGTCGTGTATTTTTTGCATGCGTACAACGGGCTGTTTGTTGGAACCAGGTGAGGTTTCGTATAACAGCACAGGCACAAGGTGCATTTTAGCTGCAAAGCAACAATAAAAATAACGACGATCGTCCACGTTACTCCCACCTACACAGAAAACCTGTCCTCCAGCCTTTGAAGGCGAAGGGCTTTGCAGTGGGGCTGAAGGGTACTCAGTTTCCAGAGTCCGGGAACCTCAATGTTCTGGAGGGAAGTCGCAGTTCCCACTTTTTACCACTAGATGGGGGTGTTGCAGAGGAGATGGCGGCTCGGCGGCTTGCTGAAGTCGGTGGGCGGCGGCGGGCTAGCAGAGCAGCCCTTCCCATTCTCAGAGCCTTGCAATGTCTACGCAGGGCTTTTCCTGGGGGGGTCCCTGGAAGTGTTTGTGGGGGGTGGCATGGACTCCCGAAACTCTTTTTGCGATCTTGTACGTTGGTGGGTTTTTGTGGAATTGGGGTGTGTGGGGGTGCACAGCATCAACTGCACTCAAATGCATCTCCGCCCACTGAAGGGCGAAGAACTGGGGATCTTAGGTTGTGGCTCACTACACAGACCAGGAGCCTCAGGCCCTGAGATGATTCCCTGCACGTTCCCGCGGCTATCCTGCCTGGAGACATTCCTGGAGGAAGGAGGTGGTTCATCACAGTGATTACCATCACCAGCTCCTGATCTTGCTGTGTGACCCGGGGCAAGTAGTTTATCCGTCCTGAGCCTGGTTCTTACCTGGTCAGTGGAGGAGCCAGGTCAGTGGAGATACTGAGCACGGCTGGATTCTAGTGTAGGGGAAAGGTGAAGCGAAACCGCTAGGGCGGGGTGTTAGCTCTCATTGTCACGTATGATTTTCTTTTTTTAAATCTTTTTGGCTTTGTGAGGGGCAGGGAAGGGCCTCCTCATGGAGAGTGTACAAAGGGATTTTCTCAGATGGAATCCCATTTCAGGGAAGAGAAGTTCAGATTCCTGGACTCCCCAGTTTTCACCAGGTCATCTGCAGCTGGAGCCACGGTGGGGCGATGGCAGTTGAGGTCCCTGACCGCCTTCTGGGGCCTGGCATGCATGGAGAGGGTCAGAGGCCAACCTGAGCTGCTGCACACCTGCTCCCTGGGAAGGAGCTAATACCCTGGCAGCACCCCCCCCTTTTATTTGTTCTTTTTAGATCTACAAGAGAGTGGAGTGTATCTGACCCATCATACATCCATGGAGTACCACTTCCCATTCTTGGGGCTGGACGTGATGGGCGGTTTCACTGGTCGGGCATTCACACAGGGACAGGGGAAAGTGACGTTGGATTCATTCCACTGTCTTCCCTATGCCCGTTCCCTCTCTCTTCCCTGCATTCCCCTTTGTTGAATCCAGTGAACTTCTGTCCTTCTCTCCTCTCCTGTCACTGTGTGTTAGCATCCCCACTGTCAGAGAGAACACGCAGCCTTTGGGTTTGGGGGACTGGCTTATTTCACTGAGCACGATGGTCTCCCGTTCCATCCACTTGCGGGCAAGTGCCATAATCCCATTCTTCTTTATGGCTGTGCACAGAGACCACATTTTCCTTATCCATTCATCTGTGGAAGGGCCCCTAGGTGGGCTCCATAGCTTAGCTATTGTGAGTTGAGCTGCTGTAAACATTGCTGGGGTTCTAGCCGCCCCTTTGCTGAAGCCGAGGCTGTGGGGAATGGATGGGCTGCCCCTTAGCCCTCTTGCCTCTCTTGGCCCAGCCAGTCTCTGTGCTCCTGGGAAGTCTGCCAGGGCCCCTCACCTCTGCTCTAGGCCTTGATCTCTGCTTGACCCAGAGGGTTTTTATTTTTATTTTTTTTAAAGGGAAAAATGGTTACCTCCAAGGGTAAAGGGCAGGGCCTTACGGTCACGCCACACACAAACTTGGCATTTTTCCTTCGTAAGCATAGATCCTGTTATGGTTTGGATGTGAGGTGTCCCCCCAAAGCTCGTGTGGGCGTGGCTGGAGGAGGGGGCATTGGGGGCGTGGCTTTGGGTCTCTATTTGTCTCTGGAGAGTGGAGTCTCTCTGCTTCCTGATCACCATGTGAGCTGCTTCCCTCCACCACACTCTTCCTCCATGATGTCCTGCCTCCCCTCGAGCCCTGAGGGATGGAGCCTGCTGTCTGTGGACTGAGACGTCGGAACTGTGAACCCCCCAATAAATTTTTCCTCCCCTGAATCCGTTCTGATCAAATCTTTTAGTCACAGCAGTAAAAAAGCTGACTAAACCCCTACTCACTTCCCCATCTGCCCTGACCTGGGTCCCACGAAGTGGCCCTTAAGGAGAAATGGCCCCTATTCCCCGAGAGCAGCAGGCAGGGAGGAAGGCTTGACTGGGGCCAGACCACCGGGTCCTTCCTTGACTTTGTAAGTCCTGCCTTCAGGCATGGCTGCCATTTGGCCTCTTGTCCATTCCCTGCTGAAGACCATGGGCCTCTCCCAGGGCCTCCCTGCCTCCAGCTTCCATATTCCAAGCTGAAGGGACATTTCTGGAATGCCAGGCTGGCCCCTCAGGCCCTGCCCAAAGCCTTTGCAGGGCTCCCTCCAGCCTTGACATTCAAATTCACACTTAGCAGGATCCTTAGCTCCTCACTCCCAGCCCCGGCTCTCCTGGCACAGCATCAACGGCCCGCTTTCAGGTTTCAGCCAGAAAGAGCCGGTGTCAGTCACAGGCCCCGCCCTCCCCTCCCTTCCCGGCTCCCCCAGTGTCCCCTCGGAGGGAAGGAGCCACGCCCACCTTTCCCGGGGCCCGCCCCTGACCACCTGGCTCTTTACCCCTGTCCGCCCCGCCCCATCCCAGCTTCCTATCTGGGACACCCCCGGGGGATTGCAGCCAGGGCCTCTCCTGGTTCACATCTGTCCCCCCTGCATCCTGGCAGGGCCTGGCCCAAAGTAGCTGCTGTCCCTATTTGTTGAATAAAATGAATGAAGGGTTGTCCCCAAAGGCTTCATGCGGGGGCGGCRGTTAGGGCCTGGGTGGCTTGGAGGATGGGGTTCCATTTCCTGGGAGAACTGAATCCTCCTGGGGTAGACGCAAGTGGCAAGACTTTGAGACCCTGAGTCCCGCGGGCCTCCCTCCTGGGGTCCGCGGGAGGCCCCCCCAGGCCGMAGGGTGAGCCCTGTCTGCTGGAGGGAGAGGCTGACCTCCTCCTAAGAGCGTGTGTGTGGGGGACTCACCGTTCACCAGGGCGATGTTCAGGCCTCGGCCTATGTTGTTCTTCACGGGACTCATGATACTGAAGACAAAGAACAGAACGCGGTACAACATTGGTCCTGAGCGGGGGCTCTGGGGGCCCCCTGGGGTGCATTGTAGAAGCATCTGGAAACACACGGACCAACCTGGGCCCTCTGTTTTCTCTGGGGAGCTAGAGCTGGGGCTGGACTCTGAGGAGTGGCTCATGGCAGGTTTGGACCGGAACAGCCTGCTCAGGGAAGAGGGGGTCCTTGTCTGGGACTCTGTCCCCACAGGTAGCACCTCCTGGGCCCAATGGCCGCACCCCTGTCTCCCACTGTCCCCTGGAGAGCCGATGTCACTCTCCCAGGCCTAGACCCGCCTTCATTGGGCCAGGTATGGTCCTGCCACCCAGGGCCAGCAGAGGTCCAGGCTGGGACTTTTGCAGGGGGTGATTCAGACAGGGAAACTCTCTGCCCAGTGGGGTGCTAGGCTGGGCTAATGGGTCACTCCAGAGGGTGGCCTCTCTTTTCAACCACACGGACAAGTCCATTTGTAGTAGAGAAAAAAAATGGCAGCTAACAGGTAGGAAAGCAGAGCTGCAGGTGGCCTAAGAGGGGGTCCCGATGAGACAGTTTGAACCCTGGATCAAGCTGCTCCGGAAGCCTGCTACCTCTGGCCTTTTAGATACAGGAACCAGTAAGTTCCTTGTTTTATCCAATCGAATTCTATTTAGGTTCAGAATCCTGACCCATTTGGAGGATGAACTTCCTGTCGCAGGGCTTGACCGTACCTGCTGGAAGCACCCGTGCCTGCTACACCTGGCCTGGCTCGTGAACCCTTCCCACAGGTATCCCCTCTCAGAGGATGGGCTCAGCACTTGGCCTTTAGGCCTGAGTTCTAATCCTGCTCGGCCTTTGGCTCCTCTCTTTGACAATAGGGACAAGACCAGCCCCACCCCCCAGCTGTGAAGCAGGGTGGGTGGCCTGGAGGTCCCTGGAGGATTGACACACCAGGAGTGACGGGAAGGCTGGGAAGATGTGGGCTGGCCTCACAGGCCTGCTCACCCTACCCTGTTTTCTAATGAATAAATGAAACGCAAGAAAGGAACCACAGGTCCCCCCACCCCCACCCGGGTACTTACATTTGGTTTTCAAAACACATGGAGGGACCCACCACGTTGGCGGCCCCGCTGCAGATTTTGAATGCAAAGTAGTTGGACGGGCAGGGCTTGCTGAGGCCGCACTTGGTCTTCTTGGTTTCTGGGGAGGGAACAGAGGACACTTGGTGGGCAGGGGCTTTGGGCAGGAACCTGGGGGAGGGGAGCCGGGCAGGCTCAGGCGCAAGCTGGGTGACTTCTGATCCCGGAGTCTGGGAGACTTGCTCCTTCCTGAGYTCCTCCGTGTCTCTGCCGACCCCCATAGAGGGGCACAGGACCCTGGCTGTGTGTCTGGCTGCGCCAGAATAAAATCTCCGACTTTCTCCCCTAGCCTCGGGCCCCGATGCCTCATAACCGTGTGGGACAATGAGAGGTGGTTGATGACCAGTCACCCGGCAGAAGGGATTCCCTGGAGAACCTCTCTCTGGGACCACAGCAGCCTCATGCACTCCACGAGGCCCCTTTTGACCTGGGGGCTCTAGCTTGGAGGGTAGGGTGCCTTGGTCTAGCTGGGTTCCTTTGGGGAAGTCTTAAAACTCCTGCACCTCAACTGCCTCATCAGTAAAATGGGTAACCACGGTGCCTTCTCCCTGGGTCCTCATGAACTGAATCTTTCCTATTAGCTGCTCTCCTCAGGATTCCTGCCCCCCCCCCCCCCCGCTCATTTACTGAGCATCTACTAAGCACCAGACACTGGGAGACAACAGGGAATAATAGGCAGGCGGTGCTGGCCCTCCTGCTGGGTGCTCGGAACCTGCTGGACACCCACCTTTTTAATCCCAGGGACTTGGAGGCTGAGGCAGGAGGATTGAAAGTTTGAGACCAGCCTCGGTAACTTAGTGAGGCCCTAAGTGGGGGAACATCTGGCAGGGGTGGGGAGCACTGTGCTTGGCAAGAGATGAGGGGGGACCCCAAGCTGCAGGCTCTGTGGGAGTGGGGGCATCATGTGGGTCTTCAGCTCAGCAGGTCCTGCTTTATCTCTGAGCACCTCCTGGCAATAAGGGGGACTGGTGAATAAGCAGGGTCACCTTCAAAGGGAGCGCAGGGTGGGGCTGCCACTCTCCCTGGGCCCTGGGCCAGGTGGGTGGCTCTGCCACTGTGTGCTCTGGAGCCAACCCGTGGGCTTGCTGAGGGACCCCGGCACACACTGAGGCTTGCTGTGCCCGGTGTGGGGCAGGCACGGTGTGTTTAGGACCTTGTTAAATCCTCCTGTGGCTCTGGGCCTCCCAGGGGGCAGCTCCATACATCTTCCCTGGGCTGAGCTCAGGCCCAGAGGCCAAAGCAGTGGTTAGGGTCCCCCAGGCCCTTGCTGGCCCAGAGGGAGGCGCTCGGTGGATTGGGAGAATGTGCCCCTTTGTTGGGACCCCAGCTACTGGCACACGGCTAGAGAGCTGATGGGGGCTCCCTGCTGGGTTTGGGGTCCCTCTGCTAAGTGGGGAGCCCCGAGGATGGGAGAGAAATGCCTCTCCTGGGCTCCCTCTCCCCTGGTTTCCGTCCACACACCTGCTGGGCACACCTGAGGGCCAGGCAGGCCACAGCACTCAGAGAGCCAGGTCAGGGCGTGGGGACACCCAGAAGGGCTGTCCTGAGAAGCGAAGCTGGGGACAGGGTGTTATGGTGTGGATGTGGGGTGTCCCCCAAAAGCTCACGTGTGAGCAGTGCAGGAAGGCTCAGAGGAGACATGACTGGGCTGTGAGAGCCTTAACCCAACCAGTGAATGGACCCCTGATGGGATTAACTGGGTGGTGGCTGGAGGAGGTGGGTGTGGCTGGAGGAGGGGGCATTGGGGGCGTGGCTTTGGGGTCTCTATTTGTCTCTGGAGAGTGGGGTCTCTCTCTGCTTCCTGATCACCATGTGAGCTGCTTCCCTCCACCACACTCTTCCTCCATGATGTCCTGCCTCCCCTGGAGCCCCGAGGGATGGAGCCTGCTGTCTGTGGACGGAGACCCCTGAAAGCGTGAGCCCCCAGATAAACTTTTCCTCCTCTAAAATCGTTCTGGTCAGGTCTTTTAGTCACAGCCGTGAAAAAGCTGATAAAGCCCAAGGCGTCAGGGTGAAGGTCCTCTTCTTCTCTGAGCCTTGGGGTCCCCACCTCCAGCCACCCGAGAGGCTCCTTGGCTCTTGGTGGGACCAGAGGCCCTCACCTGTGCAGGGAGTGGGGTTGGCTCTGGGCCCTGGGGACGAGCCCTGGAGTTTGCCCAGAGCCTAACCGACTGCGGCTGAGTCCTGATAGACCTGAGGTCAACAGCCGGGCTCCGGGGGCTTTTCCAGAATTGATGGCGCCTGGGGGTCTCAGCCCCTGGGGGCTGGATGTGCTCTCTGGGTTCCGGCTGCTTCCACCAGCTGCTCCAAACCCTGAGGCCCAAGCCCTCTGGGAACCTTAGCCTGGATCTGGGGGGCACTGGCTGGGTGGGGAGGTCAGTAGGAACCTGGGGCTGCTCTCCTAACCTGCGGGTGACTTGCCAGAAATCTCTCCGGCTCCCTTGGCCAATTATGAAATCAGGGAGTTGATGATATCAGGGTGGCCCAGCGGGTTTTCTCCTAGATGTGGACTGGACCTCCCTGGTAGGGGTTTGAGGATAAAGCTCTTGAGGCTGCCCGAGGGCCTGGGGGAAAGGCTGCGGATGCAGGGATCCATTAGTGATGTCTGTCATGGGAGCGGGCAGGGTGGGAGGACCCAGGTCGGCTTGACGTTGCCATTCCCCCAGCAAGTGATGTCTAATGTCTCTTCTGCATCGAGACCCTGCGAGCCTCTGTGGCTGCTTCAGAACCTGACTGAGGAGGCTTTGGGGAGATGGGTTAAGGGTGAGGGTGAGGGGTTTGTGTTCACTCTCATCATCTTTGCTCTCTGTGATTCCACAGCGCACCAGGCTTCTCCAGCTGGGAGAAGCCCCTCTTCAGCGTGACCACCATGTTAGGGTGGGAGATGGAGGGCCTAGAGGGTATGACCTCATGCAAAGAGATATGGAGGACCTGGACCAGACAGGGTGGGTGGGTGGGGCGCTTGATTCCCACTCCCCACCAGAGCTCCGTGGCCTCAGCTGGGACATCTCACCTCTCTCAGCCTCAGTTTCCTCCCCTCCAGAAAGGAGATAATTAAGCTGGGCACGGTAACACAGACCTGTAATCCCAGTGGCTCAGGAGGCTGAGGCAGGAGGATTGAAAGTTTGAGGCGAGCCTCAGCCACTGAGTGAGGCCCTAAGCAACTCAGCCAGACCCTGTCTCTAAATAAAATATAAAAAAGGGCTGAGGATGTGGCTCAGGGGCTAGGCACCCTGGGTTCAATCACCTGTGCAGGGGTGTATCTAGAATGACATGAGACACCTGTGTCTGGAACCCAGGAAGCACCGATGGTCCCTACTGCTGTCATTGTCCCTCCCTGTCACCTCCTCAGCCTTGGGGAGCTCAGGGCCTTGCTGAAGCCCTATCCAGTGCCTGCAGTGGCTGGCCTCCGGTGCTCTGCCCTCCCAGAGCCCTCCTCCCACTGAGCACATGGCCTAGGGGCCCCGGGCATTGTCCTTGGGAGGCTCTGCGCAGGGCCCCCTCCTCCCTGAAGCCTTCCTGGCCCTCTCCTGGTGGAGGGGTGCCCCTCCTGGAGCCCAGAGCACTGTCCCCTCCTCTAGCGGCACACTGGACATTTCTACCCCACCGGACGGTCAGCAGCCTCCTGTTTGTCTCGGGGGACAAACCTGTGCTGCCCAGCCCCGCCTGGGTCATGGTCGCGGTGATGAAGAGCACAGGCCTGCCGCAGGCCCCCAGCCAGGCGTGGTGAGGTGTGGCCGGGGCCAGCCAGGAAGAAGGGGGACAGCTGGGCCGGTGCCTTCCGTGGCTGAGCGGGAGCCGCCCTGCCCCTGGGCTTGGGGGGTGTCAGAAGGCACCACCGGCCCCTGAGGAGCGGCTGGGTGCGCCCTGGACACCTGGGTTTCTCTGGGACCTACAGAGAAATCCGCAGGGAACATCCTGCCCTGGGCAGCTGGGGATCTGGGGACTCACCGATGATGTTCCTGGGGTCCTCAGCTCCTGGGGAGGAGAGAGTCTGGTTAGAGAGAAGCACTTTGACTGCAGGGGGTGGGGGGTGGGGGGATGGGGTGGAGTAGCGGGGTGCTGGGAGCATGGGGAGGAGGGAATTTAAAATGGCACTGTCGCCAGCCTGTGGTGCAAGCCTGTCATCCCACAGGGGTCATCCCAATGGCTCTGGAGGCTGAGGCAGGAGGATCGGGAGTTCAAAGCCAGCCTCAACAATGGTGAGGCCCTAAGCATGACCGTGTCTCTAAATCAAATATAAAAAGGGCTGGGGATGGGGCTCAGTGGTCGAGTGCCCCTGAGTTCAATCCCTGATAAAATAAGCTAAAATGGCACTGTCCACATGGTCTGCAGTCCCCCTTGTCTGAACCCTCTCTCGGGTGCTGCCATCACCTCTTCGCACACAGAGATGCATGGCCACACACATACGTGGACCTGTCCATACATGTGCACACACACTTGCACACATGCTGGAGCACCCCCATGCATACACATGTACACGACTCGCTCATGTTTACAGACAGGCTGGGCCCCGGGACCCCCCTGGAGTTTGACCCTCCATCATGCTGTGTGACCGTGTGTGATGTCTAACCTCTCTGAGCACCCGTTTCCTTGGCCGCCCATGGAGACCGTCATGGAGGTCTCAGGGGCTGTGGAGAGGGTCCTATAAGGTGGGTCTGTAAGGGGCTGACCCTGCACCTGGGGACCACTGTGTGGCTGTCGAAGCCTCTCTCCTGACTGCCGGCGGTGCTGACTGTCTGCGCTGGGCGTTAGGGACCTCGGTCACCTCCTGACACCGTATCTGGTCCTTCGTCTCAGCTCTTGCTGCCCTTCCAGGTGGGGTCTCCCTTCACACTGGAGGTCAGTCCTAGTGGACAGGGCTCCCCTAGGAACGGCAGGGGGAGCTCGCCTGTTTTAGGGGGTCCAGCACATTCCAGCACTTTCCATCTGGTCCTTAAGGGGGCTGTTCAACCTGGTGTGTCCCTGGCCTCTACCTTCGAGGTCCCAGGAGGAGCGATGACCCAGGTGGGGCCAGTATATACTGTCCCATTTCTCTGGAGTCAGAGTCCTTCCCTGTGTTGATATATTCCCTGGGCCTTAGCAGGAGGAAGAGGGAGAGAGGCTGAAAGGGCCTTTTTTGCTGAGTTAGAAGATGTGCAGAGGCACATCTGGTAGCCACTGTGCCTCCCTTGGAGAGAAAGCCCACAGAAGTCGTCTCTACCCTGTTGAGATGAAGTATCGATGAGCAGAGCCCCAGGATACAGAGAGACAGGTGTTGGAGGCTTTGTGGGAGCTGCTGGATTCAGCCACACCTGAAGCCAGGTGTGGGTCCTTGAAATTAGTTTAGTTGACACTAGTTAGAGTTTGACTCCTCTATCAGAAAAAAACCCCTAATTTGCCAGGTAAATCAGGAGTTCTTGATTTCATAATTTCTATGCCATGAATCCTTTTTGCTAGCTTGGAAAAGCCTAGGAACTCCCCCTCAGAATAGATTTATCCCCATTTGCCTTGAGACACTTAGCACTTCCTTCTCCAATACACTGCAAGTTATTAAGTGCATAAAATAAAATAGGTTGGATTACAAGGGAAACCAATGATCTACCAACATAATAACAACAAAAAATAATGTGTGCTATGGCAATATTAATGTGTTAAATAATAAAATGGGGGTATTTGCACCCAGGGTAGGAGCCTTTGATGCCAAAGAAAGTCACTCTTCCAGTGTGGAACACTAGTGGGATTTTTTTTTTTTTKTGTGTGTGGGGGGCTACCAAAGGTTGAACTCAGAGGCACTTAATTACTGAACAGAACCGACAAAAACCTCAGTGCCCTGGGAGGCTGAGGCAGGAGGATCGAGAGTTCAAAGCCAGCCTCAGCAACTTAGGGAGGCCCTAAGCAACTCAGGAAGACCCTGTCTCTAAATAAAATATAAAAAGGGCTGGGGATGGGGCTCAGTGGTTCAGCACCCCTGGGTTCATATCCCAGTACCAAATAAAATAAAATAAAATAAAATAATATAAAAAAATTGGATAAGATGAAGGACCTCAGATCCTCCTAGTGGGGGGAGTCGTGTTAGAGTCGGGGAGACTGCTTTCTGGCTGTCTTGGGAAGCCCTGAGCTGTCCTGGTCATCACTGCGGATGACGCTGGACTCTGCCAGTGGAGGGGTCCTTGGTGGCTCTGGTTTTCTCAAACACACGTGCAACCACACCTCGGAGCTTGCACCAGTCCCTTTCGCAGTCACCCTCCGCCCCCTCCTGGGGCATCTGTGCACCTTGAGGCTGATGTGTCGCAGCCAGCTGGCCTCCTGCCTCCCCTGGCTCATCTACCCCCCTCCCCCCACCTGTCAGTCCATCCATCCATCCATCCACCCACCCATTTTTCTTTCCTYACTCCACCGTTTACCAGGCCCTTCCTCGGGCCAGGGGCTAGGGAGACGGACGGACACATGGACGCCGTCCAGGTAACCTGCATTCAGGGGGGCGGCGAGGCCCGGCCCGGGAGCCCCCTGAGGGAGGACGTGGGAGGGGCTGGTGCAGGAGGAGCAGCCCGGCTGTGGCTGGAGGGCAGGGAGCCCCCTCTGGGGAGCGGGCATCTGAGCAGAGACCTGTGGCTGAGAAGAAGCAGGGCCACCAGGCCTGGTGGGCACCGAGCTGCGGAGCCTCCTCCGGCAGAGGAGCCCACTCACCCATCCAGCGCGGCAGGCGGAGGGTTTTGGTGYTGAAGCTGTTGGAGGAGCGAAGGAAGATCCAGGTGGCCACCAGGACGAAGGCGAGGGACAGGAGGCGGATCAGACCTGCAAGAGCRAGAGGACGGTGCCAGGAGACCACGGCCCCGGCGCCAGATTCTCCCCAGACCCCCCCAGGGAGACCAGGTCAGGAGACCCCTGCGTCCACCCTGCAGACCAGACCCTGGGACCGCGAGGTGGCTCCGGCGGTGGTCAGATGGTGAGGTCGTGCTGCCAGACTTTGTGCGGACAGTCCCCACAGTGACCCCTGGGGGAAAGACTTTAAAATCCAGCTTCTTGGGCTCCATAGCGACCTCCAGAGACGGTCTCTAGGAACGAGGCCTGGGAACCCGCATTATTTATTTATTTATTTATTTGGGTACCGGGGATTGAACTCAGGGGGCRCTCGGCCACCCGAGCCCCATCCCCAGCCCTATTTTTCATTTTATTTAGAGACAGGGTCTCACAGAGTTCTTAGCGCCTCGCTGTTGCTGAGGCTGGCTTTGAACTCTTGATCCTCCTGCCTCAGCCTCCCAAGCCACTGGGATGACAGGCTGGCGCCACTGTGCCTGGAGGGAATCTGTATTTTATACAGCAGGAGAACTGGAGGCAGGCTCTGGGAGATGAGCCTTGCAGTAGGAGGTCGGGGAGGTGACATCCAGGGTTCAGACAGCCACGGTGCTGTGTGAGGAGCAGGAGCTCAGCCTCTGTGCTGGAGTCTGTCAGTCACAGAATGGACACGGTAATAATGTCCATGTCCTTGCCAATGGTGAGGTGCTAAGCAACTCAGTGAGACCCTGTCTCTAAATAAAAAGGGCTGGGGAAGGTGGCTCAGGGGTGAATGCCCCTGGGTTCAATCCCTGATAAAATAAAATAAAATGGCACTGCCCACATGGTCTGGCAGTCTCTGTTGTCTGAACCTCTCTCAGTCCTGGGAGGCTGAAGTCGTGGTTTGTTGGGAGGGGCGTCATACTTATCAAGAGTAAGTAGGCTCAGCTGGATGCSGGGGCGCACACCTGTAATCCCAGCAATTTGGGAGGCTGAGGCAGGAGGATTGAAAGTTTGAGGCTAGYCTCAGCAATTTAGGGAGGCCCTAAGTRACTTAGAACTTGTCTCAAAAATAAAAGGGGCTGGGGATGTGGCTCAGTGGTTAAGCACCCCTGGGTTCAATCCCTGGTACCAAAAAAAATAAATAAATAAAAAGTAGGTCCAYACCTGGACTTGCTCAGTAGCTCCAAGACAAGCCACAGCTCCCGGGCCTCCCCTGCCCATAGCCAGACTGTCCCCTGACCCTCCACCCCGCCACTGGGAGACCCTCCCACACATGGGGATGAGCCACACAGAGCTCCCTGTCCCACCCCCTTGCCTTAGAGGGACCTAAAAGGAGGTTCCATTTCAACTTCCTGCTGCCTTCAGAATTAAATCCCTCGAGGCCCAGGTCCCGTCCTGGCTCCTCCTCTGCCCTCTCTGTCAGCTCCTTAGCCCCAAACTCACTCTGTGGCCTTGTAGTAGCCCATGGCTACTTGGTGTGGGAGTGGAGGCCCCCTGGATCCTGTGGGCTGGGGCTTAGGGCTGGGGGACCCTTTGTCATCCTGGCCACAGTGAGTGTCCCCCGGGGGTCATMAGTTYACATTTGACAAACACTTTTCAGATACTTGACCATCTCAGCTCATCCTCACACGGACCCTTGACACTGCCAATCACCCCYGTTTTCCAGATGAGGAAACCGAGGGTCAGAGAGGCCGTGGCTTCCCCCAGGACGTTTGGCTAGTGAGTGACAGAAGTGGGGTTGGAACCCTGAGAAGCCAGCTGACTTCAAACCAGTTCTCCTCGCTCCGCAGAGTCGCCTGGGGAATACAAGTGAGGCTTGGTGCCTCAGTTTCCCTACCTGTACAAAGGGAGCACAGGGCCAGGGTGAGGACTTCACCTTTCTCGGGTCTGGCCCTGTGGTTTGAGGAGGTAGACATTTGGCCCTAGTTTCCCACCAGGTGTCCAGGGTGAGKTCCCCCCTGCGGTCCCAGCACCTGGGGCCATGGTCAGGAAGTTTTCTGGCTCAGCAGCAGGGAGTTCCCCCTCCGCTCTCCCAGCCTCCCCCTGGGCCTCTGTCAACAGATTCGCCACCTCTGGACCCAGGGCGGGCAGATGTGGAGGTCAGAAAAAACGACTCTGAGATGAATGTCATCCCTAACCTCAGCATCCTCGAACCCCCTCCTACCTGTGGCTCTCATCGTGTCCGGGAGCCCAGCGGCCTGGGGTCAGCCTAAACCTGTGGAGAGAAGAAGGTCCAATCAGAGACTGGCATCTGGACCCTGAAGATGACCGGGGCCTCTCGTCAAGGGAATCTTCACCCCTCGGGTGTCTCCTCGCCACCTGCCACACAAACAGGGTAGCATGCTCCTCCTTCCCTCTYTGCAACCCCCTCCTCCACTCATGACCTTGGAATTTTAGATCCAACTCATCACATCGTTTTTTAAGTGCAGAGATTGGAAAGTAGAGGAAAGAGTGGTCTGATAGGTGCTGTTCCTTGGAGGATTTGATTTATTCATCCATCCATCCATCTATCCATTCATCCTTCCTTCCTTTTTCCATCCATCCATCCTCCATTTATCCTTCCTTCCATCTATCCACCCATCTACCCATCCACCTATCCACCATTATCTTCCATTGTCCCATCTATCCATCCATTTATCCTTCCTTCCTTCC